CGGAGTCCAGATTAGTCATCTGTGATTGCTTTCTAACATTGATCAGGCACCTACCGGACACCTGGTACCCAGCAGTTACCAAATAAATACTGTTTGAAGGACTGGATGAGGAAGCCAAGATCCAGAGTGAACAATGGATGTGTTCAAGACCCCATAGTGAGACTGGGCTCCTTCTGCCCATGGTAGTGCTCCCCTCTCCGCCCTCAGGGCAGAGAAAGGGTGGTCCTCGTCCTGCTGTGGCTGTGAAGGACAGACACAGGCAGGAAAGCCAGTCCTGCCATCATCCAGCTGGTAAAGGAGACTGGACAGAGAGGATGTTTCTCCCTCCTAGGACCAGCTCCAAGCCTCCTTCCTGGCGGGGGAGAGCAGGGGGAGAAGACAGGCGCCAGCCAGTGCCCTGCCTCTCAGGTAGAAGCCGGGTGCTCACAAGAGTGCTTGCTCTTTCCCACTTCCCCAGGACGCTTGGTACAGTGCTAAAGTTGGGGCTCCCCTAGCATGTGATCTCCATTTCACTTCCTTCTGACCATCTCTTGTTGTATAAAGACTGATTCCCAAGCATGGTGGTGTATGTAATCCTAGCTACTTAATCAGGAGACTAAAGCCAGAGGAATGAAAGTTCCTGGCCAGCCGGGGTAATTTAGGAAGACCCTGTTTCAAAATAAAATTTAAAAGACTGGGAATGAAGCTGGGCAGATGGCACATCGGGAGGCTGAGGCAGGAAGATTGCTCTGAGTTCAAGGCCAGCTTGGGCTACATAGTGAGTTTAAGGCCAGTTTGAACTGCACAGTGAAAAGCTGCCTCAAAAAACAAAACAAAAAAAGCCTGGGGATGCAGCTTGGTGGTAGAGTGCTTGCTTAGCTGGTGTGAGGCCCTGGGTTCCATCGCCAATACTGCAGATCCATGAATAAAGACACTGGTCACACTGATTTCGTTGCTTGTATGCATTGCCAGGAAGACACATCTCCCTGGATGGTGGAGGAGGAAAGAGGAGGGGGAGATAAAAACCAGAACTAAGGGAGGGATGCAGGCCGGCTTTCAGACTCCCAACCACCGCCTGCAGGAATGCTGAGTTGTAGCTCCTTCTCCTGATCCATGATGACATTTGGGCCCATCCTAGAACTTTCCGGACTCGTTAAGGTATTTTTTTTAGAGGTCCTATTTCATTCAATTGACCTAATATTTATTTTTTCGTTTTTTGTTTTTTTGAGACGGGGTTTCGTTATGTAGCTCAGGCTGGCCTCAAACTGACTATGTAGCTGAGTAGTAGTGTGGGTGCTTAGCATGCATAAGGTCCTGCATTGGATCCCCAGCACCATAAGAATAAAGAAATAAATCTTCAATTTCCAACCCCAATAAAAAGTTCTTCCTTACTTGCTAAGCTTGGTGCAGGTCAAAGGACACACGTGGGGAAAGAAATGTTCTATGCCGCCTCCCGCTCCTCTGGAGCTTCCTTCTCTGCAGAGGGTGGGGTGGGTGCCACTGTATCTGGAGCCCCCAGGTAGAGCTCTCTGGGGCAGCAATGCCAGGCTGCCTGAGCAAGGAGCCTCCTTCCTTGGAACCCTTGCAGCCCACAGGCGCTTTCCTGCTTGTGTGGCTCTCTCTCCAGGCCCCGTTTCCCTGGATCAGGAAGGCCCAGAAGGCAGGTGAACAGGAACAACTCCCAGGAAGGAACACCAGTGTGTCCAGAGCCCTTTCCTTGGGAGCTGCTCCCACTGTCTTTGGTGGGTGGCATCCTTCCCAAGCAGAAGGGAAAGCCAGCCCTGGTGTCCTGCCTGGCCTTTCCACAGCCTCCTATCATGTAGCTGGGGCAAGGAAAGACTTCAGGGTGGGTCGCAACTTTGTGTGGCACTCAGAGGCCATTATTTTTGAGCTTTGGAGTGAAGTTGTTATCCTGAGACACAGCTGATTCCAAACAATCATCAAACAGTTGTCTAAGTTCCCTTACCCCTTGGTCAACTGTGTCTGAGATGAGACTTCAACTTGCCTTCTGAAAATACAGTGTCCTAAGGGGCTGGGGATTTAGCTCAGTGGCACAGCGCCTGCCAGGCAAGCGTGAGGTTGTGAGCTCAATTCCCATTACTGATAAAAAAACAAAAACAACAACAACAACAAAAATACAGAGTCCTAGCTGGGTGTGGTGGTACATGCCTGTAATC